TTCAGATTAAGATCTTTGTTGTTGGGTGGTAAGTATACTGATATAATACGAGTTCTGTTATAGTTGAGGAAGAAGAAGTCGATTGCAATAGCAGTACCAAGACATGTAAAAATGTTGTGACTGTATGGATAGAGTGGTTTTGTAACAGCTATTGCTATACCCATGCTTGCTTCCTGGGTTTTTGCTGTTAGAATATCACAGTTTGCGATATATATGTAGTAATAAGGGTTGCTTGTTTGTAGGTTAGTGTATGTAGATGCAGGTAGCTTTGTTTCGGTTATGCTTATTATATGAAACTGGTGTGTATTGCAGAATTCAAGCCATAGTTGTGTTTTGAGCCTTGTGTTTAGCTCTTGTACATTGTGTGTGGCGATTGTTATTTTGTCGTGTATAGGAGGAGCAGCATCATATTCGTGTTTTGTTATATTATTTTCAGTTGATGTATCTGTGGTGGTAGGGTTGGTTTGGGATGATGTTGCTTGGTAAGCAAGTTCAGCATTATTAGATGAAGTTATATTATTGAGAAAAGATTTCCCAGGTAGGTTCTGGGAGGGGTGGGAGTGCTAAAATGGAGTTGGGTATAGTTTTGACTATGAAGTGTTGATGTAATATTTTGAAAGTTTCAGAGGCAGCTTTTTGGTCTGTGATGGGAAGGGTTAATTGTATTGTGTCAATGTCATTGTTTTTTAAGTAATTAAGGATCTCATCTAATTCATTTGGTATTGTTTGGCTTTGTTGGTGGGATGTTTGTCAAGTTGGTTTCTTCTGTGGTATTAGTTTGGATTTTTATCCAGAAGTCAGGAATATGGTAGAAGTAGTAGGACTCTTTTAGTAATTTGGCTACCTCAGTTAGAGTTTTTGTTGAAGTAATAGGTGTTAAAATTAAGGTTGCTGGCCGTAAGTAATAATTACGGACATTACGGATTACAACCTGGGTTGCAACCCTTGATTACAACCAAGTTTTAAAGTTGTAAATGTCGTATTGCCATAAATGTTGTAATAGTTGTAATAGTCGTAATAGGTTGTAAAGCTGTAATAGGTTGTAAGTGCCGTAATAGGTTGTAATATAATATTACGTATTTTATATAACAATTCCGATTTTTTTTTTTGTAGTACAATCTGAACTTTTAAATTGATTTGACCAAATAAATATTTACCTATGTATGAAAGTATCAACTTCTTTGTATAGAGAACAATACTCCAAAAAAAACAAGAATAAGTTGCTTGAGAACAATAAATTTTGCCAACTTTGATAAGAGTTTAAATTTTAATTGATGCATTATTTTACCGCTTTGTAAAAAAAAACTGAAGCTTTTATACACCCTGCATTATACGTATGTTTGTGCTTGTAGATATCTGTACAAGATAGGTAATGTTGTGCATAGATGTAGATTTCTTTACTGTTACATATATAGTTTAGCGTGAAAATCTTTCTTAAAATGTCGTATAAAAAATAAACTGCTTGAAAAAAAAAGCTTGATCGTCAAAGTTTAAAAAATAAAGTTTTTTTCGTTACACTGAAAAAAATCTGGGATTAAATCAAGATTTATTAGATCAAGGTTTGCGCACTACAATTCATACATACTATATATAATTAATTATGTGTAATTATAAAGCAAACATTTATATAAAATCAAGTGTTTTTTTATATCAATATGTTTTAGCGAAACAAAAAGTAGCATTATTAATATTTGAACCAGGCTCTTATAGAAATATTGCATCACATATAATGGCAGAGCTAAATTGTCTTGTGTTGCATTTCAAATTATATAGTTATAGTAGTGATTAGTTGCTCAATTTATATTCAAATGTTATCACACTATTTAAAAAACTAAATACTATTTACTGGTAGAAAACAAGTATCTAAATCTTGAACATTTAGATATGTAAAAAACCTGTAACATTAGTATTAGTAATATAAAATTTCATGGTTATATATTTAATAAAACTCAAATTTTATGAGTATTATAGTTTTTTTAAAAAAAAATGACTAAACGAAAGTGAAATAACGAAACAATTTCAAGTGATACAGAAACTGAGTCTATAAACTCAAGCAATTCAAAATCAGGGTGTCCACCAACAGGAGTTTGGAAATGGTTTGAAAGAGGTGCATCCAAAGGTGATGGTCATTGGGAAGGAACCTGTAAATTTTGTAATAAATTTTACACACGTGCCAAACCACATACTTTACGTGCACATCTTGCTAATAGCTGTAAGAACATTTCTGAGGAGTGGCGACGCCATTTTAACTATATTTTAGTTAATCATTTAGAAGATACCCCAACTGACGAACCTCTTTATGGCATGCCAAATACCACCTCATCTTTAATTAAAGAAAAAAAAGTAGATAAGCAATTAACTAATTGGTTTGATTCTGTAAGACTTGAGAAATCTAAACAATCAATAATTGATGAAGCTATTACATTAGCTTTTATTATGTGTGGTATTCTTTTTCGTGTAATCAATAATCCTTTTTTCGTAAATGCTTTAAAACTTCTTAACCCTGGTTACGAAGCTCCATCACGTGAAGTTCTCTCTGGACGTTTACTAGATATTGAAGTAGCAAAAGTTATTAATAAAGTTGATAAAATCATAGGAAGTGCTACTAATCTTACTGTTGGTCTCGATGGTTGGACTTCCCCTAATGGATTATCAATTTGGAATTTTGTTATTATAACACCGTCACGAGAAGAATATCTTTATGAACTTGGTAATTATTCGGATCAATCTCATACGGCAGAATTTTTGGCTAGCAAGATTGAATTAATTATAAATCGTATTGGCAGTAATAAAATTTCAGCAATTATCAGTGACAATGGAGCCAACGTAGCAGCTGCACGACGTATAATTTGTTCAAAATATAAAAATATTATGAACCTTCGATGTATCACTCATTGTTTTAATCTAATTAGTAAAGATATTACTCAACATACATTTGCAGCAAGAATAATTCAGCGTGCTAATAAAATAACAAAATTTTTTAAAAAATCTCATAAAGCTGCAGCTATTTTAAACCAAAAAATTTTACAATATCAAGTTAGTGGTGGTGGTCTTAAAACGTATATAGAAACTAGGTGGACAACTATATACGAATGCACTTCTTCAATTGTGCGACTTAAAGCTTGTTTGGAGGATGTTCAAGAAAATCATTCAGAAATTATCAAACCTGCTATTTTGACAATTCTTCGTAGCCGGGGCTTTTTTAGTGATATACAATATCTTTCAGAAGTTTTACTTCCAATTAAGGATGCGATCTTGTCAGTTGAAGCAAATCGTTCTACACTTGCTGATTGTTACATTAATTTAATGAAAATTGCTACGGCAATACAAAATCTTCCTACTGATGAGTATAAAGGATTTCGTAATTATTGTATTAGAAAATTTAATAGTCGGTTTGATGAATTTAATGATTCTGCTTATCAACTTGCATATTTCCTTCACCCAGCATATAAAGGTGTCAGATTAAAATTTGGTACATTTCCTTTAATTGCAAGTTATGCCAGAAAGTTATGACAGCAAATGGGTAAATCCAAAGATAGTTGTGAAGCTTTAATAATGCAATTGCGCTTGTATAAAGAACAAGAACAACATATAAATGGAGATCCAAATCCTTATATTGCCTCCTATATGATTGGTCGTGATACACCATTAATGTGGTGGAATACTTGTGAAGCTAAACCTAACTGTTTACAACGTCTAGCAATGAAACTTTTTTCTATTATACCAAGCTCTGCTATTTGCGAATGAATCTTTTCATTATTAGGATGGATTTATGGGAGCAATAGAATTCGATTAGATGTAGATCGGCTAGAAGGATTAGCAAAAGTTTATCAGTTCAATTTATCAAATCCTATTGATCAACTTCGTCATACTCAAACTACTGAAGTAACATCTGAAATAATGACAAATATTGCAGAAACAGTTTTTAAAGAATTTGAAGAGGAAACATTAACAGAAGAAGAAGATACAGAATTGCCTAATCCTACCGAAGATCTTTATTCCAACGAACCAGATTTAAATTTAAATGTTTCAAATTTTATTGATCTTTATTCTTCAGTTTTTACAAATTCTGAAAGTCGTTATGAAAATCAAGAGTCTAATGAAATTGAGTCTGATAATAATGACGTACAAGAATATAATATAGATGAAATTATTGCCTAACAATTGGGTGATAATTTACGGGAAATTAATACTTGAAGTACTATGGTTCTCAATATAGTATAAATTCTTGAAATTATAAAACTTTTAAGAATTATATTAATTATTATAATTACCCTGTAAAAGATAATAATAGCTATACATATTGTGCTTTTTATAAAATAAAGTTGTATTTGCACTTTTTTGTCCCTGTGACTTGCAGCTCTGATACTCTGTATTGAGAAAAGAGAAAAAGAGTTGTAATAGTAACCGCATATCCTTATATATATTAAAAACTAAACTGATTACCTTTATGATCCACATTATTGTTAATAAAAGCATAGTCGATTCAGAATTGTAATCTCAACGTGTGATCTCGAAATTAGAACCGAAAGTAAATTGTAATCTAGCGCACTAAAAAAAGAGCAAAATACAGTGAATTAGCATAATATATTTTAACAAAATAGTAGTGAACGCAAATAAAAAGATATATAGTTTAAAGACTATTCTGAATCTATGATTACTGCAGTGAATTCAACCATCCGAAGCCTACAAATTGGTGAGAAAATAAAATTTTATTCTTTAATTCTATATCTCCGAATTGTAACATACATATATACGTTCATACGGTACTATGAAATGCTGACCTGTATAATCTTCTATAGCTTAGGTTCTGTTTTATCTATAAAATATTCTATGTAGCAAAACATTTGAATATGAATTGTTATAGTTTTATAGTTTTTGTTTCCTATTTAGGCACCCGAAAAGTCTCAGCAATACAAACAAAACTGAAAACTATAGTAAGAAATATGTACAATTCTTTATATGCATTAAAGTTAGTACAAGATATTTATTATAATGATCTCTCGATTTAATGAAGTTTTTATATAATGAATAATCTTGAATTTTGGAGTAATCTGATTTAATGCGATATGGCTTATATTAAAATTTAATGCTCAAACAGGTGTACATTTTGAAGCATATCGATATAAACTTCACAAAGACCAGTTCAAATTTGTGCAGATACACTGTATTTACTCTATTTCTGAGATAATTGCTTTTAAATATAACAAATTGTCTTATTATTTATTAATTCGAGATTCAATTACACAAATTACAACAACTAGATTAGCCAGTTTATTACACCTATTACAACCATTACACCTATTACAACTATTACACCCATTATAACTATTATATCTATTACAACAGTTACATCTATTACAACTATTACACCTATTACAGCCATTATATTTATTACAACTATTTTATCAATTACAACCATTGCACCCATTACGGCAAAAAGTTACACCTCCAGAGTAAAAGGTTGCAACCTTACAACCTTGCCAAACCTATTACGGCTGGCAACCTTAGACTGGGTTAATATTGTTGATGCCTTTGTTGTATTGTATAATTCAACCACACTCAAAGCATATAGTTGTATATCACATGAGGTGATGTTTGGTTAGAAAATGCTTTGTGTTTATGATACCCCCAAAAAATTGCAGAATATTCCTAAAGAAAGCGATTGTAATGATATTGATATCACTTCTGAGATTGTTGATCAACATATTTCACATGTATTGCAAATTCAACAATCTGTCAATGTATCACTAGTGAAATCTTGAGATAAGATGTGTAAAAAATATAGAGTTTATAAAAAAAATTGCCAAACAATACAATCAAAGCCAGGACTGTAATTGCTATTGCACTGGATCATGATACGAACCAACAAACACAAAAGTGAAAGCTTTAGCCAACGTTTTCACAACAAGGTGTGTTCAAAGTGTTGACATCCAATAATCATACAGCGATTATAGAAGTAGATAGCAAAGAGATCTGACTCTCTGTTAATAGGTGTAATAGTTGTAATAGTAACTGCATATCCTTATATATATTAAAAACTAAACTGATTACCTTTATGATCCACATTATTGTTAATAAAAGCATAGTCGAT